CTAGAAGCTTGCAGTATACATGGTAAAAGAGCAAGAGAAGGAGCATGTATCTAACACATGAAAAAAGACATCGCCTATAAATAATGAATTTATTGTAGATCCTAATGACATTATATACCAGAATAACTACTTCTATCTCATTTCATGAATTGCGTGGTGATCGTTGTTACATGAAGTCCTACACTAAATTTTGATTACCTACCAATCACATAATGAATCACAATATCATCATACAAATATACGACCTACAAAAAATTATGGATGTTATCTGGTGCATGTTTAGAAAGAAAAATGAGATTTATCGAGATATATATGTATGAGGAAGACAAGAAGTACATTCACTATCAATGTTAAAATGAAAATCACACACAACAAACAATAGAGCCTACATATAAACTAGACCCATAAATAGAGCGATCACATAAAAAAGCTCACACAACCATCAACCCCTGGGTCAAGCTATCCTACAAAAACTCCAGCTCACAAAAAAACACAACAACCATGAAATAAACAAATCCAACCCAATAGTAGCTGGTACATTAACAGCAATTGCCACCAACCCAAAATACGAACATAGAGTCTAATTTCCTATTGATATATAAGTACCTACGTTATATATATTATCAGCTTAATTTCTAACTTACAAAAATCAATAATTCCAATTTAATAAGAAAGAACAAGGTATCTTACAACTCTATGAGCATAAGGCATCACAAATCTCAACAATCCTGACTCATACCACAGAAATCACCTGCCATCATACCAACAACTACTACAGAGGAACTACTACACAATTGTCCCAACTATTAATACAAGCAATCATACCACCAAAAACCCATGACATCATCTCAGGTATACTAAATCGCTATCAAATAAAAATTCGAATATCACTTTAAATTAAATAAACCAACAATACATGGAAACACCACCATACCCACATCAATCTAATATAAATAATGATGATTACTCGAAAAAATTCTCACAGGCTTACCAAAAAATAAAAATAAAAAAAGTCTCACCACACAATCAAAAAGTATAGTAATTACTTGGGAATATGGTACCTAATCTAGGGAATCTTCACCATTTCATACTTAAATAAACATATGTTATGTTCATTAAGTATACTACATGAGATAACTCTATCAATATTCTATATTCCGATAATAGCTACCACCCCTATAGAATATTCAAGATAGGTACAATTCGATATCTAGACATTATACCTTGAAAAAAGAACAATAAAATATAGAATTCCATAATGGTTCTATACATCATAACACTTAGAGAATAATTAACATACATAATTTACCATAATAGTGCTAAGAATTCTAGATTGAATTTCATTTTCCATGGAAATTTGAAGGTTTTGCTTTCATTTGTGGTCCACTTTTCTTTTCTTTCTTCTTTTTTCTCTTTTTTCCTGACCTCAACACCCAATGGATGGTATTTTCTATCCTGTATGATTTCCTCCCCTCCCCATCCCCTCAAGTTGTAATCTTCTCTTTTAATCCTGACATTCAAAATCTCACCATGCTTTTGTCTTTGGTGCAATTTATTTTCATTCATTTCACTGGCACTTAGTGGTACCCTCAATCTGGGAGATTCAATCACTTTCTGTTCTGAAAGTGTTTATATTTTCCCAATTATTTTTTCTTTTTCATTTTATCTTTTTTGGGAACTCCTCATTTGAGTATTAACCTGCTCCAATGATCCTACTCATTACATTATATTCTTTATTCGTTTCTTTTCTTTCTACTTTGAAGGAATTTCACTTTATCTTCCGACTTTTATTATTAAATTCATTAACTAACACATTTTTTAATTGTCAAAACTTTTTTCTTTGACCTCAAATGTCTTCTAGAGTTTCTTTTTCTTTTAATTCCAATACTTTCTTCCACTTCCTGATTGTCTTTTCTTCCCAACTTTAAAAAGCATTGTTATACTCTCTTTTCTGTTATCTTTCCCAGACGTCCATGGTCCCTTGATTGCTCCCAATTTAGACTAGGCACTTACAAAGCCTGATTTGGGAGCCACAGCGGTTGGTCTTGTAGGGTGATCAGGCTTGGGCACAGATGTCCTGAGGCCCCATGTGTTTTCTCTATAAGCCCATCCCTTCAAAGGTTTTCTTAATTAACTGGTTCCCCAAGGGAATTATTAACCCTAAGTTCTTGAAAGCCAGTCCTTCTGACCAAGCGAGTATTGGGAAGAAGACTTAAGTTTTAAATAATAATCAAACTCCTCCAGTTCCCATGCTAGTAAAACTACTTCTCCCCCACCTTCATCTTGCCATTTCACATATTCCAAGTCCAGAGTCTTTCGATTCAACCTCTAATTCCTAGATTTGCTCTTAAGGGAGCAAATCTCCATGGCATGTAGAAAGAGATTTCTAGAGGCCTAGCTAACTTTCTTGTACAACATTTTCTCAGGTTTTTCAAACCACTCATACCCACCCATCCTGTTCGTTTAATTGACTTTCATGAATCTGCTGTGAAAATCATTTGCTTCTTGGAAGTCACGATCCTGACAGGCAAGTTAGATTTAAGAAATGAAAATATCCCTGCTGTAATACCCCTGTGATACAACTAACAGAAATTAAACATGTTCAATTTGACATGGCAAGCATGTAAACAATTTCCATACCATACAACACAGTTGCAAAAATAATAAATCTTTTCTCCTAAGGATTGTGTTGTTACAATGACATACACAGACTGTTGTTCCTCAGCTCCTGAAAAAAAATTTCTGAGCTACCAGTTGCCTGAAATTCCCTACTTCTTGACCATATTCTTTCAGAGATGGCAGCCTGAAAATCTTAATCTCTGCATCCAGAGTCACATAGCCACAACACACCCTGTTAGGACCCTCCCTACTCCCTTACTTTAAGACGCCATTCAAGGTTTCTCTGAAGGCATGTTCTCCCTGATGCACAAACTAAATAAACATAACTTTGTTTAACTCCAGTGTTTTCTGGTGAATTGCTGGCTATAACTTCACAGAACTCAGCATTTTGTATCTGTGATTTGGGTCCTACTTTCACAAGCTTCTAAAAAATATTCTTGACCTTCTTCCCATCCAATATTGCATGCCACAATTATATTCTCCTCTGTCCTTTCTTCCCCACTTGTTATGTAACAATATTCTATGCCTAAGATTATTCATACTTGAATTCTATCACCTCAGCAGGTACCTACATGTTAATAACAAAATACACTGGACAGAAATCATAAAAATTGATAATTGCATCTGTGCTTATGCAAATAAATAGGAGATGAATCTCAATGAAATGTCTTCCCCCGAGATCTGGTTTTTTCCACAAAATGTTAGACCTGCCTACAACCCCAACTCTATCAAGTCACAAAACCAACTCTTAGCTATTACCCTTTTTCTGTGAAGGCTTAATTTTACATTCCACCCTGCAGTGTACAAGGGTTGTTTTTCTCACATCAGGGCGTCCTCAAACTACAGCCTGGGCCACATGTGGCCACCTAACACATCTGGCTCGGGTGTTTTTGCCACGCTGCTGTCCTGCTTAGCAGCCGACTGGTCGGGTCCCACAGTGCGCATGTGTGGAATGTGCGCCGCACTCTCCAATGGCCCTCCAACGGTCTGAGGACAGTGAACTGGCCCCCTGTTACAAGTTTGAGGACCCTGCTCCACATCCTCCCAAACAATCTTTTGCTTTTTTATAAAGCTTTCTAGTGTGTACAATTTTAAAATTGTGAAGTAAATTGAACTGTATGAAGTACCTTTTTTATCTTCAGTAATTGTTCTTGACTTAAAGTCTGTTTTATATTTAGTAATATGACTTGACCAGCTTAATTTTGTTTGGAAAGTATTTATGTGATATATTTTTTTCCATATCTTTTTGTTTCAGGTGTTGTCAGCTCAGTCCAATCTGACAACCTTATCTTTTAACTGAGGCTTTCGTCCTGTTTTATTTAATAAATTAACAATATATTTGCACTTAATACCACACCTAATTTTGTACTTTTTTGATTGTATTACATGATTCGTATTTCTTTTTTTCTCATGTAAGCTTTTAAGCTATAAATCTTTAAAGTCTCTACTTTTCATTATCATTCAGTTCAACCTATCTAATTTCCATTCTTTCTCATCTTTGATCCATTGTTTATTTAGTAATGGATTATTTCCAAAATGTGGATATTTTCTAGTTATATTTTTAGTATTGTTTTCTGGCTTATCTTATGGCTGGGAAGCATGTGAATTTTACAGCTGGGCTCTGTACAGTGTAAGGCTCTGTATGTCAATAAGGTAAGTTTGTTATTTCTGTTGTACAAACATTACTTATCTTTACTGAGCTTTTGGCCTGTTTGTTCGATCAATTACTTAGAGAACCTGTGTTAAAATTTCCCACAAAATTATTGATTTTTCTGTTCTCTCTTTATCAGTATGTACTGACTTCAGATCCTTTCAAATCTCTACTCAGTGGTTTGTCTGGGGCAGTCCTTTGATTTGAGGGGACTAATGTGCTCTAACGTTGTATAGTCTTGAGTTGCCTAGTTTCTACGATATGGGGGACTGAACCAGCTATGGTCACATCTGGACTATCCACTACCAACATTTGAATGAGCCAGATTAAATGAAGGGATACAGGGGTACTCTTTGGGCATCAGGGTGCCATGGGGCCTTTGGTTTCCATCCCCTTTGCCTTGGCAGTTAGCCCATGTTGCATGACTGAAGATGTTCTTCCCAACTCCTTTTGATAACACCTAAATGCTATTTAGCAGTGTGGCTCTTACTAAGGTTAACTCTGAATTCCCACCAATTCTGGTAATAAAAGGACTTCTTTGTCCCCCTCGAGTTGCTGTAACCAGTCCTGTTAACCGTTGGCCTTTCTAGATGTAATGATCTCAAGTTGAGGTCAATGTCAACAGCTTTACACAATTAAAGAGATGAGCACCCATAGGAAAGCCAGTCTCTTGAACACGGGATGTTTTCATTGAGTTACCCTTTAAGATTTATTTCTCTTTTATCCTCAGTTATTTGAAGGATTGAAGGCATTCCGAGGGGTAGATAATAAAATTCGACTGTTTCGGCCAAACCTCAACATGGATAGAATGCATCGATCTGCTGTGAGGGCCACTTTGCCGGTATGTAAATTTAGGACTTTTGTGTTTCTTTTAATGTAATGGGTCACTCTGTTTACCACCAAACAAATCCTTCCGAATAATTAGGTCAATATTCAATACAAATCATCTGAACATTGAAGTTATTTCTGATCTACTTTATTTATTTATTAAATAACGCTTTCTTTTTTTAAAAAAAACTTAATCTTTATATTTTTATTTATTCTTATTTTTTTTCTTCTTTTTAAATAAGCAAAAGAACTCTGGAAGTATGTTTCTGATCTACTTTAATTAGTAAGGTTAAGAATACAAGGAAATAACCAATACCAATTGGCAAATCCACAAGGTTTCTTTTTTTAATGAGTATCTGGGGTAGGGGGGATTAATGTGTATGTGAGGGACAAAAGGATAAGGGCAGAAAACATACCTCCAACTACAATAAAATTTAATGGCCACATGAAATGATAATGTTGAAAATGAAAAATACGTGCAGCACAGATATTTTGGGGATATTTTGCCTACTTGCTTTAGACACTAGCCAAGTATATAGTGATTAAATTATTTTGATATTTTATTCTAAGTTTTATTTTGAGATAAAAAAAGATAGCAGAAGCCGGGCGCAGTGGCTCACGCCTGTAATCCTAGCACTCTGGGAGGCCGAGGTGGGTGGATTGTTTGAGCTCAGGAGTTCAAGACCAGCCTGAGCAAGAGCAAGACCCCATCTCTACTGAAAATTGAAAGAAATTAGCTGGACAACTAAAAACATATATGTATAGAAAAAATTAGCCAGGCATGGTGGTGCATGCCTGTAGTCCCAGCTACTCGGGAGGCTGAGGCAGGAGGATCGCTTGAGCCCAGGAGTTTGAGGTTGCTGTGAGCTAGGTTGACGGCCACAGCACTCTGGCCCTGGCAACAAAGTGAGGCTCTGTCTCAAAAAAAAGATAGCAAAAAGGTTTCTCATAGCCATTGGATCCTAGCTATTATGTTGTTTGTTATGGAGCAGAATTCATCATAAGACGGGTTAGAATTATATCCTATGGTTCACATCTAGGCTGGAGGTGACTTAGATCACTCTGTCCCATGAGACGTGACCAGGTTGCCTTTCTGAACTGAAAGGAGTCTTTGCCTTCTTTTATATATTCTGCACATCTAACCTTCAGGAACTTAGCCTAAACTGTGCATGGAAGAGAAGGGGACAGGTAAGTCCAAGTAACTACTCTTTTTTACCTATATTCTTCTTCCTCTATTTTTGTAACCCAGGCTTCACCTACCTCTTTTAGAGGCCATAATGTAGTAGCAGAAAGGAAATTAAGGTAAATTCTTTGGACTAGATTTTAATTTCACTCTTATATCCATTACAGATAAATCACTGGGGAATACTTTAAAGTATTGCCCCATATGTTAACATGGGGCGAGAAGGAAAGGAAAGTTATATTTATTAGACATCAACTCTGCTACAAATTGTGTTATGTGGTTTCACATTTCTTACCTACTTAATCATAGCAGTAAGCCATTGTCAAGAAGGTATTTATGGCTGAGCGCGGTGGTTCATGCCTGTAATCCTAGCACTCTGGGAGGTGGGCGGATCCCTCAAAGTCAGGAGTTCAAAACCAGCCTGAGCAAGAGCGAGACCCCGTCTCTGCTAAAAATAAAAAGAAATTAATTGGCTGACTAAAAATATATAGAAAAAATTAGCCGGGCATGGTGGTGCATGCCTATAGACCCAGCTACTCAGGAGGCTGATGCAGTGAGCTCTATTTAGATGCTTGCTTTCTGACTTATTTCTACCTTCAAAAATGTAACCTGTCATGTTTCTTAAAGTATGGGAAGTATGTTTCTCTGCATTGCAAGTGAGAAGAAACTATTTAAATTATTTTTACAAATCATTACTCATCTAGTATATGAAAACCTTTTTCTCCTCAGAAATAAACTGCGCTTTGTTTTTGCCCATTTTCTTCTTGGGTTATTTGTCTCTTTCTTAGTGATTTTTTAGGACATCTTAACATATGCTGGCTATAATACTTTGTTGGTTATTTGCTACCAATAACCAGTTTGTTGCTTTTTGTACGTTTTAAAAAAAGAGCAGAAGTCCTTTAAGTTTTACACAAATTTTCTCTATTTTTTTCCTTTGTGATTTGTTTTCTATCTCTTATTTAAGAATCTTTTCCTACCTTAAGGTCACAGAGATATTTTGTATGTTTTCCTAAAAGTCTTAATGTTTTGTCTCATTTAGGCATATGATCCAATTGTAACTGATTTGGGAAGATGGTAAGAGATAGGGGTCTAATTTCTTGTCTTTCCTGTGTGGATAGTTAACCATCCCACCACAATTTTTGGAGAACAAAAATCACAGAAAAATAATTTTTGTTTGGTTTTATTAATTACAACAATTTTTCAATTGTTCCATAATAATACATATTTATAAGGTACATATGATTTAATGCATGCATACAATGTGTAATGATCAATTTAATTGGCATATCCATCACCTTGAACATTTATCATTTCTTTGTGTTGGGATTATTTTTATTACTTTTTTAACAGTCTCAAAGCTTCAATAAGAATCACTTCTTTATTGCTATATTGGGAGAAAATTCCATCATTTATTATGTTTTTTATTCTTTCAGGTGTTTGACGAGGAAGAGCTTTTAGAGTGTATTCAACAGCTTGTGAAACTGGACCAAGAATGGGTACCCTATTCAACATCTGCTAGTCTATATATTCGTCCTACATTCATCGGAACCGAGGTGCGAACTGACTCCCTATTTGGGGGTACTTTGGTAGACATGCTATCATTGTCTATTCTTGTTTGAAACTTCTAGTAGTACCTTGAAATAGCCCCCCATAGCATCATTAATGATTTCTTTCTCCTGATTTTCAAGACCTAGGGGTAGCAAACCTTTTCTGTAAAGGGCTAGATAGTACGTATTTTAGGCTTTGTGGCCCATATAGTTAGTAACACAATTACTCAACTCTGGCATCATAGTACTAAAGCAGCCATAGACAGTACGTAAATGATAGATGCATGAAGAAAGAGCAATGCTGTTTGCCCTCCCCTGATCAAGACTAATCACTGTTTTCTAAGTTGACAAGTATAACACCTCCCATGGTGGCAGAGCTTCTCTCTGGCAGAAGTGATAATGGCTTTGAAATTTTGGGGAGGGAGAGGTGGTACTTTTCATTTTCCTGAAGTCTTGAGATGACTTGGCAAGGAGTTGGGAGCAAAGTATCCTTTTCCCCCACAGAAAAATGCTGGAAAGAAAGTTCACAAAGTGAGGTAGGGAAGGAACTTGGAGAGCTGGGATGGCAGGTCTAAAAACAACATGATCTTAAGATCTCCTGGTGAGCCGTTGCTGGGCTGAGTGCCCTTGCAAACAAAGGAATAGACTTGGGTGTGCCCGAAGGTGGTCAAGGCCATTCGAGTGGTGAGTGTGTTATATAAAGACCCTGTCACTTGTCTCCTGTATCTGCCAGGCTGTGGCCTTATGGATGGTGGAGGATATTGAGGGGTAATTGATGGAAGGAGATTGATTATGGGTGGCAGATGAGGGGCCTGGGGCATATGGAGATCCTTAGGAATGCAGCTAATGAGATTAAGCTCTTTTGCTATAGTCTAGCCATTCTGTTCTCTGTTAAGTGATGGTGTGGTTACCAGGTTGTGTGAATGCAAGAAGTAGGGAAATATATAGGGCAACAGAATAATTAAATACCTAACTGTTTTATTGGCATCCTTTGATGGCTTTTGAAAGACGACTAAGTACTAAGGGTCAAAAAATTTCACGAATTGCTTTCTCCGACGACTTTTTAAATTGTCCCAATTCTTTAAAACTTATCTACTTCCTTAAGATTTTTGGCATCTAAATATTATTGAATCTTTTTTTTTAACTTGGATTTTAATTATGTACCTAAATAGCAACATGAGAATGAGGAGTTCTAAGGCTTGTACATTATCTCTAGATGAAAAAAATTCAGATTAGTTTGCTTATAGGATGGTATCACCCAAGAAAACAGAGGCCTAGTATAGTTTTTCCTGAAGAAGAAAGCCAGTTTAATACATTTAATACTGACTTCTCTGCCATTTTTCTGTAGAAATATTGATTTACTGTATGGAGTTTCCAATGTTTACCTATAACTGATTAATATGGGCAGAGCATGGAGTTTTCTACTTATTTCCAGGTGAATTCTTAACATTTCCTGGCTTTTGAAAGCTCCCCTTCCATAAATCTTCTACGACTATGTATCCTCATAAACCCCAGTCATGTAATTTCTCCCTGCTGACCTGGACAAATGTGGTGGCTTGTTGTGGATAATAGATAGAGGAAGCTAATCCCATGAAACCAGGTGGATATACCAGCTTCTTTACTTTTGAACCTCTAGCCAAAAGGAGTCCAACAAGGCCAGCAAAACCAATAACACCAAGTCTTGGAAAAAATCCAGGAGGTGCGTTTTGGAGATATTCATAGCTGTCTAACCCCCACTGAACCAAAGTTTGTATCTTGGGCTTAGTTTGGGAGGATGTTTCCTGACACCAACGTGTATATGGCTCGCAATAATGTCGGAGCTGTGAGATGCTTTCTTCAAGTTGGGTCCGTGGTTCTTCCACATATTTAGATTTTCCCATGGGAGCTGAGTAGACTGAAAGCTCATCAATCTTCATGGGATTTGGGGGAGGTGAGTCCTTTTTTGGTGCTGCATAGACTTTTAAGGTGAGTAGGCCCAGGCTGGCTGGCCCCACAGACCTCTGAATTAACCTTGAACGTGTCGCTGGCAGTGGTGGCTCCGGCAGGGTCCTATTGAATCTTTTAATATTACTTTTTAACCTTATGATGAGAAGAAGTAATTTTTAAATTTGGTTGAGACATTGCTACTAATCTCAAAGCACTACCTTCCAGTTACTAAGGGTCTTTCCCAGTCTAAGATCTGATTCTTCTGTTCCTAGTTTGTTGAAAGTTTTGTGATGAATGGATGCTGGATTATGTTGATTGCTTTTTCTTAATCTCTTGACATGATTATGTAGTTTTTGTCCTCTTCTTCCATTATTAATTAATTAATGAATTCATTTTTGGATGTTAAATCAGCTTTACATTCCTGGGCAAAATCCTACTTGATTATGATGAATAATCCATTTTATATCTTGATGTATTCAGGTTGCTAATATTTTGTTAAGGATTTTTGTGTCAGGGTTCATGAAAGATTGATCTAGTTTCTGAATACAGACAGTCCCTGACTTAATTACAGTGGTTCTACTTATGATTTCAACTTTACTATGGTGTGAAAGTGATACAAATTCAGTAGAAACCGTACTTCGAGTACCTATACCATTCTGTTTTTCATTCAGTACAGTATTCAGCAAATTACATGAGACAATGAATACTTCGTTATAAATAAACTTTGTCTTAGATGATTTTGCCTAACTGTAGGCTAATGTAATTATTCTGAGCACATTTAAGGTAGGCTAGGCTAAACTATGATGTTTGGTAGGTTTGGTATATTAAGCGTTGTTCAACTTAGCAATATTTATTTTCAACTTATGATGTGGTTATCAAGACATAGCTCCATCATCAGTTGAGGAGCATCTATATCTAATTCTGTGATTTAGTAAGTCTTTAGACTGCCAGAATCCTATAATCTAGATTTACACAAGGTCTTAAATCTGATTTTGTAGTCTATCCTACAGCCATACAGTAATCCTCTTTATTAGGGCGTCCTCAAGTTTTTGCATTTGAATCACCCACGTGTTATTTAACATACATGTATAGAACCTAATCCTCAAAGATTCTGATTGAATAGATCCAGATGGTGATTCTGATCGATGCCCACTCAAATTCAAACACCTTACTTAGCGTAAAAGCCCTGTCAAGTGGTTCTCTTGTACTACACTCTATCAGCTTACATATTTGATTATGCTTGGGACCTCAAAATCAATAATTTTTTTCTTTTTGAGTCAGAGTCTCACTCTGTTGCCAGGGCTAGAGTGCCATGGCGTCAGCCTAGCTCACAGCAACCTCAAACTCCTGGGCTTAAGCGATCCTCCTGCCTCAGCCTCCCAAGTAGCTAGGACTATAGGCATGTGCCACCATGTCCGGCTAATTTTTTCCATATATTTTTTAGTTGGCCCATTTATTTCTTTCTATTTTAGTAGAGACAGGTCTCACTCTTGCTCAGGCTGGTTTCGAACTCCTGACCTTGAGTGATCCGCCCGCCTCGGCCTCCCAGAGTACTAGGATTATAGGCATGAGCTACTGCACCCGGCCTAAAATCAATAATTTAAAAAAAAAAAAATCTACTTCCTAAGTTGTGACATAAGAAATGAAAGAAATAACTAATGGCATTTGGTGAGTCAACATTGTTTATATTTGGTCTATAACATTTTTATCGAGTATCATTTTCGAATTAATGGTATAGGTAGAAAAATAACCACTTATAATTCAGAAATGAACATGATACAAATAACATCCAATAAAATATATCAATTTAAAAAATTCTGTAGCCCAGAGACATTATATAATCCATGTTGGCAATTATCCTGCATTAGCTTTTCAGGCTACATTTGATACTTGTGGGCCTGGCTGGAGACTGGTGCCAGTAGCTGCCTGTTCACTGGGATTCTGTCATCAGAGATGATTAGCTTTTGCTTGTCTTTTTGCTTATTTGGTTTTATGATGGCTCTGCCCTGTCACTATCTTCACAGAATAATTACAAGTTGACTTCTATGTCAGTTATCTGACTTTCTGGGGCCTTGTCTTGCTTCTCACTGACTTCCATGTTTTTCTTTCACGTCCTTTTCATGGTTAGATTAACTGGGTGTTACATCCAAAAGGTATTTTGATTTCTTTGAAGAACAAACATATGTTGGGATAATTTTTCTTTTCTTTCTTTCTTTTTTTTTTTTTGAGACAGAGTCTCACTTTTGTTGCCCGGGCTAGAGTGCCGTGGTATCAGCCTAGCTCACAGCAACCTCAAACTGCTGGGCTCAAGCCATCCTCCTGCCTCAGCCTCCCAAGTAACTGGGACTACAGGCATGTACCACCATGCCCAGCTAATTTTTTATATATATATATATTTAGTTGGCCAATTAATTTCTTTCTATTTATAGTAGAGGTAGGGTCTTGCTCTTGCTCAGGCTGGTTTTGAACTCCTGACCTGGAGCAATCCATGAGCCACCACGCCCGGCCTTGGGATAATATATTAATGATATAATTACCTAGTTGATCACCCATGTCTGTCCAGTCTCTATTTGCGGGTATGATACTCACTTGTGCATATAAAACATTGATTATTCTACAATAGACATGTTTGTGTCAGCCCAGACCCCAATAGTCTAAATCTGTGGAGCCAGGATCAGAACTCTCTCTGAGTTTAACAAACTTTCCAGAGATTTCTTAACCACTTTCAAGAGGATTGCCATCCCAAGCCTTGTTAAGGAATCGAATACATATCTACTAGTTTCTGGTGCTTTATTTTCTCTAGGGATTGCAAGCTGGCACCAAGGTGGAAATATTTATATCTTTGAAAGCTGGGTTTCATCTTAAGAACAAGATGTTGAATTCACTTTCCTGGGCTACAATATGACAGTATAATATTAATAATGTTGTTTCTCACACTCTGTAAGATTCAGTAGCTTCCCTGTCGTAGGGAGTGGTCCTGCCGCCAATCTAATGAGTTTTGTTATATTTACAAAGGGTACTCTGCCTCTTTACATGTTTTGTAATTAACTGACCCTTTGTTTTTAATTATTTTCATAGAT